CGGACCAGCTTTCGGATGCTGCGCGCGTTTCCAGACCGCCTTTGTAACGACGACAAAGAGAGCCTGGCGGCGATTGCAACAACGCTTCACCGGCCCGGCCGATTCGAAGCGAATCGCAATTTGGCGAAAATGGTAAATCGAATTCATGGTCAAAGCAATGCGAGTTTCGAGATGCGTTTCGCCGAATAATAACTTTGTGCGCGCGCGCCCGTGGCATATAGACGTGGATTTATGCGGGAATCGGGGAATGACTGTAAATACTGTACTCGGGATACTGTAATTGGGAGACGGGAGGGTGAAAAATTGCTACGTCGATTGCTGTTTTGCATTTCACGGGACGAACGAAAAGCTCGTCCGCGCTAAAACTGTGACAATTTGATTTGTCGGTAGGCTACTACACTACGCTGTGATCAATGAAATGCCAGGGAAAATTAGTCGCAAAATCGCGCACGCGATAATGCGCGACGATAAAAAGCGAGCGGAAAGCTCACGACCGTTTGCCAAATAATTCGAGCTTAGGGATGATAATAGACGGGTTTAATTAAATACACCGGGACGTTTGACAAGAGAGAATCTCGTCAACGCGGCTATTTTCTATGAGTAATTATTTTTACTAATTATTTAAATATATCGACATAAAATTGAACCAACAGCGATAGTATGATTAGTAAAAATTAAAAGGGAGGGAATTGATAGAAAATAAATTTAAAAATTCACGTGACACATTTAAGATTATTTTTAACAAACTGGAACAAAATATTAAAAAATGCATCGAGTGTTTTAAAAAATCTATTAAATTTATATACTTTCAAAAATCTAACGCTCTTGGAATTCATTAATAAAATTGTATGAAATTTAATACTATAAGAATGAGAGTTTCTTGTGATTAAAAGATTGAAAGAAAATTTATGGATTTAAAGTCTTTAGATAAATGTATAGATATAAGTTTCTCGGTATCAGAAATATTTTAAGGCGCAATCATAATCGCACATTTCGCAATGGACGACAATAATCCGTGACATTTGATTGCTGATATGGTTGAGTATGAACGTCAAACGCGCGCGATGCCGCTTTTGTTCAAAGAACCTCGATTAAAATTTCCCCGAATACGTTCTCGTAATTTAACGACGCCTTTAAACGGCACCCACCTCGAAAAATAGGCCAGATAAAATGATCGCTGTAATAATGTGTAGCGATGTACTCCGTCCCAAGAACTTACCGATAGGTAAATGAAGCGTGATTAAAATAAAATTTCCAATAACCTTATCAATTATCGGGATTTCAATAAATTTATTTAATAACCGTAACTTGTAATCGTGCAAGATGATTGAAATCTATTCTAAATCAAAGATGCAAATACATATTTTATTTCTCTTTTTAATTTCTTTGGACAAATTTTTCAATTTAATCGAGAATTCATTTTATTTTTTATGCAAAACTAATATAAATAAAATATATAATGACGAAAAATAATTAATGTGCACATGTAATATGTTCTCTATTATTTGCATGATTTTTTCGAATCTTTTCAAAATCTAAAAAAATATTTCCGCAAAGATATCTTCTTGTTTAAAATGAAACAAGTTACCGTTCAACGTCTTAAAGATGAAAGATGACGCAGAGATTATACAATCTTTCTTTTTGCGGCTAAGCTTCTGCGAGGATAATTCGCGGCGTTCTTTTGAAAGTCAAAGTGCAACGCACATGTGGCGCATCACCAGCGACCGGAGTGATGCATCCCACGGCGAGTGCACTTTCTACGAAGGAGATTCGATTGGCAGTTCGCGGAACCTTCTACCTACGCACCTCGCATAATGTGTAGGAAGGGGAGCAAGAAAGAGAGAAAGATGGAAGAAAGAGATTGGATCGTACCAATTTTCCCGTTTGGCAATTTTCCGCGAAGCAGACGAATGACGATTACTTTCTCGGCTCGTCTGACCGTGTAAGGAATTTACTCATTAATTCGCCTTCCAAGAAAACGCGAGAAATGTCTACATATTCTTGATTATCTCGTTTGCTTGCGTGTGTAATTTTATTCATTCACTTTACAGAAAGTACATTCTACACAACAGACATGAGGGAAAAATGAAACTTCAAATTCTTTCATAAATTTAGAATCGATTTGATCAAGATGTGCGTACTTTTTCTTGAATTTACACAATTATTATAAATTACTTATTTTATTATTATTTAATTTAAATAATATTAATTAATATAATTAATATAACATTAATATTAATTCATATAACTCATTAAATTACATAATATAATAAAAATGAATATGAACATAGAATAAAATATTCAATTCAAAAACATTTTAATACCCAGCTTTTTGACAAATTTAAGATCAACTTTTCACGATAAAATATATATATTTGTTAAATGTCTAAATTATTGAAACTGAAAAATATTTTAATTAATTAAATTTCATCAAATTATTTTTAATTTAAACACTGATTTCGATAACTGAAAGGTATTTCGGTGGCTGACAGAGGAGCAAGAAAATAAAAGGACTCTCAGAGACGAAAGAACGTTTAACGTGTACGGAAAGGAGTTAAACGTCGTCGACTCGGAATTCCCTCGAACGACTTCCGGCAAATTGCTGGGCAAACTGGAAGTCAGTTATATCGACAGACAGAACGAGGAAGAGAGCGCGGCACGAATGCGCGCTAAATCGAGGGGTTTAGGAGCCGTAGACGACCGGAAGCGCGGTCGCTCCCTCGATGAATATTAACTCGTTCTCATCGTCCGAAAAGACGTTGCGACGAATTTTCCAAAAACGGCGCGTTTCAACTGAATCCTAATATGCCACAATGATTACATCACTCTCCGTGATTGCATTACTCCAAAAGATTTAATCTTCTTGCTTTTTTTTACAAAAGCAATAAAAGTGAATGATTTTATGTTTCTTATTATCATTCTTATCATGTTATTTGCTTAATTATACATATTAATTTGTGCAATAATAATGCAAAATTTTAATTCTGCTTTTATAGTGAAGACGTAAATTTATTTTTACATTTATTCTTATATTCAATAATAATTTAATAAAAAATGTATTATTATTTATATATAAATATTATATTTGTATATTATTTTTATATATTATATATTATTTTGCATCAAAAATAAAAATTTGCATAAAAAATTTATAAAATGGCTATTTAAAAGATGGCAATAAAACAATTTATAAAATGGCTATTTAAAAGAACGCAATAAAACAAGAGCTAAATAAATCCATTCAAAAATGTATCAAATAATTAATATTGCGAAATTAATTAAATTATTGCCTCAATACGAAAATATAAATCCATAATTGTGTTACTTTCCATTTTTTATTAAGTTGAAAAATTCGATAACGGCAGAATATGATTCTCGTCGCCAGTCGGGAAACACTGGTATCGCGTTATAGAAATCGAGGTGGATCGCGTGCAACACTTTTATTCGGTTTTCCGTCGAGACCAAAAGCTAGTGCCGGAAAAGCGACTGACTGCCCGGAACCGATCAGATCCGACAGTGGCGGACTTTAATTGAAATTCCGGGTCGATAACGTTTGCGGACGCTCGATACACCCCGGCTATGTTATCCCGAGTTATCTCACGTCGGGGATGTCCGCAACGATGACTTTCGAGAAAAAGTTATCGGTCCTTCGAATAAGCGAATCAATTTTTCTTGAAATAAGATAGCTATGGATTTTTAAGAATTTATCTTGAGAATATTACTTCTAGATATTTGTTCCTAATAATGTTTTGTTATCTTTCGTATCTTGACGAATTTTCAGAATGCATCATTCAGATTTTTACATTTATACTTTTTATATTTCTATTTTTACATTTATTATAATTTTTATGTTTATTTTCCTATTCGTTTTATATTTATTTCATATCTATTTTTATATTTAAATTTTTATATTTATTTATCCGCATATTTTTATTTATCGAAAATATCTCAGCATAAAATTGCACGACAAAAAAACGTGACAAAAGCGATGAAATAATTACGTATCATACGCATTGACAAAAAGATTAAATAAATATATAATATCTATTCATGTTTTAAAATTTTGATCTAAATTTTTATATTGTATGATGAAAACAAACACAACTGCATAAAATATTATCAAAAAATGTTGTATACTAAATCAATACAGAAAGAAAGGATCTTCTATCCTACGGGTTCTTGGCACATGACAGTATCATGACGAGGCTCTTTGACGCGGATATCAAAAGCGAGTACCATTTTGTCAGCATCAGCGATTGACGTTTTGCAATGTTTTTTTTCGCGACAACTCGTTCCCTGATCGAGCATTTGTTCCCTCTTTTTGTCCTCGCTTTTATTTTGAATAGAAGCTTCAAAGGCGAGTCTCTTTCGCGAAATCATTCGAGTTTTTTTATATTCTCTCGCAGCGACAGCAAGCGGATCGAATTGAATGAGCACGGCTTTTTCCATTGATGCATTTTTTGTTATCGTGAAAATTGGAAAATATTTGGAAAAATTTAATTGCTTTCTCGCTTTTATTCTACTAAATTTTTAAAGCAAATAAAATTTTTCGATATCGAAAATACAAAAAGAATTTAGAGAAATAAATTTGACATAAATATATATTTATAATATATTGTAAATTGTGTATAAATTAATTAAATTAATTTCATTATTAAATAGAGTAAGATTTTAAATCATTTCATATATTAATTGTTTAATTAATAATAAAGCTAACCACACATCTCTCTATGAACATATAAATTATAATTAAATTATCTCTGTAAATTAAAAAAATTATAATTTATAAATAAAAAAATATTTCTTTTACATTATAATATTCCTTTAAAGACTTTGTTAAACGACCTTTCAATTTCAATCTTATTCACCGTTATCTTGTTATCATTGCATGCGGCATCTTGTTATTAAACGTCGAATGGAGACACGAGATGCCTTTTGAGCTTTTAATATAAAGCTGATGCATGAATCTCATCAGCTTTATTCCAGAATATCCTACTTACCGAGTACGGCGAGAGTGATGTCGCCTTCCAAAGTAGTTGTGTCGTTACGTGCCTGACAGGAGTATCGTCCCGCATCCGAGGCTCTCATCTCCTGCGTGTAGATTGTTTGATTCGCGCTCTCGGGATATAGGATAAAGTGGCTCTCTCCGCCTGGCCAAGGATACGCCCTGTTATCTTTATACCTGTAACAAAAAAATAACTTATGTATCACAAATAAGCGAGCTCATAGTCGAGAAAAGTATTATAAATAACATTCACTCGACATCGTATGCAAAAAAACAAAAGATATATTTATCATCGAAATTTATTTCACCTTCGAAATAAAATATTTTTAGAAAAGATTTTATTAATCTTTTTAGTCTTGTCATGTTTTCATTATTAAAAATATAATATTTCTTCTGACAAGAGAGTCGTACTTTTTTTTGTGGAAAATATTATCTCTTTATTTTTCTACAATTTTTTTCAAGACTTTTTCGGGAAACGAGAGAGAAAAAGTGCACTTACAGAGATTTTGAAAAAAAAGGCAAGGCTATTTTTCATGGAAACGATAAATTATCGCGACCGATCGTCGTGAAACACGTCGCACTTAAAAACAAGCCCGATATTTCCGGGACGAGAATATCGATGGTTGTTCTTGAGAGCATTCGTTCCGCCGTAAAGATAAAAGTCGAGGGAACGAGCGCTCCTCGACAAATACTCGAAGTAAGAGAAGAATCAGGAGCACTGAACCGTTCGCGAAAATAAATCGTCCGTTCTATATTGCCGCCACAATGACTTCGTTAATTTATTGTTGTTGTTGCACTGTGCCTCTCTCTATTATGATACCGCACAGTTACACTATCAATGGCAATCTTAGTATAAAATATTTATTACAAGAGAATCAGAATATAGTTTAATGATGTATAATTATAGCGTAGCATAATGATATGCATTAATAATATATTCGCATAAATAATAAATATATATAATATATACATATTATTAAAATACAATAATATAATATAATAATGTAACATAATAATATAATCGTTAAAATAATTACATTATTACATCCCTATTGTTGTAGCATTCTTTTTTAATAAATATTTTATTTTACTTTAATCATTTGAAAAATTAAATTGATTAAAATTAATTAAAATTTAACTTTGCAACAAACGTGCAAGATTTTTTTTTCTCTAATAAATAATAATTTTTCTCCATTTTTGTCCGTAATTTTTTGCGAGAATTGTATTTTTAATTCCTGCTCTGTATTGAACGATCCATGTTACGAGAGCAAGTCTTCTTTTGTACTTGGTGCAAGGATCAAGGAATCGACGGTGCTCTCGTGAAAGGGAAAGAAAACCTCTCCATGTAATTCAGTTTCTAGTGCACTACGCAAATTCACTTTCGTTTTACTGGCGGATCAAAGAGACATCCGCGCATGGATTCTACAAACTTAGGCTGCTCGGAATCTTAGAATCCTTTATCCCTACTTTTTTCGAATGTAGTAGTACGAAAAAGATCCTTTATTTCAACTTTAACTTTAAAAAATTACATAATTTTATTCTCTATTTTATAGTCTTCGTGTATTCGTAATCTATATCTTCAAAATAATTTGGTATTAAATCTGAGAATCTTTAGATATCAAATCTCAAATTTAAAGTTCATTAATAATAATTATTTAATATCCGGATATCAATTTATTTGAATACTTATACTCTTTTGCTGAATTATTTATACCTCATATTTTAACTACAATATTTTACCAATAAGATCTTACAAAGTTATTTTGTTGTGACAAATTTTCAGTGTTCATTTACATGTAAGAAAATTTTTAATCCATCATATTCATAAAATTTGTCGGCAAATTGTCGTGACTTTCTCATCGTCGCAATGTTGTAAATAAAAAATTTTTAATAAGTCGAATGATTCGCTTTTCTCGTTTTTAAAGCAACTACAAAAGAGACGATCAGCAATCTCACCGCCGCCATTAAGAATTTCTTTATTAAAGCTCTCCTTGCATCGGCAGGACTTCTTTTACGAGCTTCTGTTACGAGCGTACTTTGAATAAGAATTTTTAATAAAGAGAGCTATCCTCCCCACTCCTCTTTCTATCCGTTCATCCGCGACCGCTCGTCTCTTTTTGCCAGGATAATTCCGAACTGGTTTGGATTCTAACGAAGATTCCGCTACATAGCAAACTTCCGAAGACTAATAAAGACACCGAAACATTCAGTATCCGAGGACATGAAGAAAGTTCAGGATTTGCGGGACGTGAAGATCGAAAGACGTCAGTATACGAAGCAGGATGAGGTAAGATCCTGGAATTTTGAGAGGATGAATCAAAGCACAAAAATTTTGTAACACAAAAGTTTTAAAATTAGAGAGAAAGAAATTTGCAAGGCTACTGCTATTATATTTTTAAAAAATCTTAAAATCCTTAAATTTGTAAGTTTTAATTTAAATTTAAAAATCTAACCACAATTGTAGATAAACTATTATATTATTATTTTTTAAAGCAAATTATTGAATTTCTGAATTATGAATTTTGAAATTTGGTATTTTTCTAATGTTACAAATCCTAAACTTTGTATGAATTTTGTATGAATTTTCGATCTGTAAAACTCAAAATATTAATTCCTTAAATTTTATACACTTAAGATTCTAATTTAAAGCTTTTTAAAATTTTTCTAAAGTTGTGTTTATCTTCAATTTAAAATAATTGAATAAAAATTTCTATTAATAGATTTTATTAATCGAGTAAAATGAAAGAAAAATAGAATGTGGTCGAGATTTTTTGAAAATCGCTGAAGCTCTCGCTTATAATTCGCAGCGGATGATTTGCAAAAATAACTGTTTAATCATTATTGTACTCGTATACGTGTACTGTTATCGGATCGCGAATTATACTCGGTTTAAATTAAACCCCAGTTCCAATATGGAACGCATTCTGAAAATGTTCAGGGATCACTGACTGTCCTTAATAACCTGAAACACGGTCGGCTCGCGTAATTAACGTTCAATTTTATTTCGATGAATATTTGTCCGCCGTATTTGTTAAATAATTGCTGGTTTCTCTTCTGCGTTTTGAAATCTGATGAATTAATTAACATTCATTACCCATAATAAATGAACAAATGATTTTATTAAAAGTACAATAATTCATAAAAACAGTAATAGAATCTAATCAAATAAATAAATCCCAATAGAAATAGAAATTAATGTAATTGAGTAACGATTGGAATGAAAGAATAAGTAAATTAATTTAAAGTAATTAAGTAATTAAGTGATTAGATTAAACCAGTTAATACATTTAAATTTAATTAAATAAATGAAAATTTTGATGTCACCTACTTCTTTTCTCAATTAAAAGAAGTATAATTTTATAAAGTATAAAAACGAAAATAAAAATTCATTAAATAAATTAACTTTATTCTTGACTTATTCAAGTTTTAATAATATTTACACTTCTATATTACGTATCTGGTGTTTCTTTATATATGTTTCTATAATTAAACAAAATTATCCATATTATATTACATATATATATATATATATATATATATATGTTTAATATAACGTGGTTTAATATAATTTAATATAGTTATAGATTGTTTTGATCTTTCTAAAAATAAAAATTGCTAAAAGTATAAGTAGTTTTATTTAAATGTATTTTAAGTAATATTACACTTCTTTATTTTATAGTTTGCAAAATACTTATGACCCAGATATATCTTACGTGTGTCTGTATTTTAACATAAAAAACATTCTGCATTACAAAATCGCAATGATGTGCGTTCGTTTGCTGAATAATTGCTCGTTATCCTCGTCGCATGAAAATCACGTCGGCTTCTATTCGTTTGATCGTAACTCTCGAAACGATACCCAATTTTTTTCGCCGACTGACTCATTGTTGCAATATAATTGCTTGTTATCCTTTGTCCTCTCGCGAACAATAAAAAAGACAGTCAACCAAAGTCTGCTATTGCGCGTTTAATCTTATTTTATTTACATCGAGCTGAGCAAAGTTCATTTTTTTAGCGAGATATAAGTGGATTTTATAATAGTTTAGATTCACGATTCGCAATTAGTCTAACTAATTCATCATAAATTTGCCGATAAACCGCAAATAAATTAATCAATTTTATCGAGTATCTTAGTCACGTGCGAAAACACTTTAATAAAAATTCGCTTATATAATTATTATTTATTATTTTCGCAAAAACTCTTTGAGAGTGAAATGAATTTCGCGGATAGACACTCGATTCGCGTAAAAGCATTTTAATGACGCGTGAAAATTTTGCGCACCGAAAATACATAAACCTCGCTGTATAATTCATAAACCTCGCCATCGAGATAAATCGCATAAACGCGGCTCATTAATTTGACTCGATGTATTTAGCCGGACGAGCAAAATTGCAAATTATGGATTACATAAATTAACCATCGAGCAGAACGAACGCTGCGCCAACAATTCAAACAGCATCTTGAAACGAGTGTAGATTGGCGTTTCGCAAAAGCAAACACGGAACACGAGTCGAGTTCCTAAGAGCACGATCGTGAATTATTTTCGGAATCTCCCCTCCCTCTCCTACTCCCTGTGCGGATGAGAGATAATTGATGAGTTAATCGACTCGGTCACGGGTCAAATAACCGAAAGGAAGTATAAAGAGGATTAATTCTTTTTCTAAGAATAAGGAGAGAAAAATGTAGTTCGTTGAAATACCGTGGGTAACAATTGACGTATTAATTGAATCTGTCACGGTTAGCACTTGAGAAATAATAATCTTTGTTATTAATAAACTTGTCTATTATATTAATTAAGATTAAATAGAAATAAATATCAGCCAATGTAAAAACTATAACGAGGTACAATTGAAAAATTAACAGACTTGTTTATAATCAGTTTTAAAAAATACGTTGTGAAAAGAAGTGTCTTCATCATTAACTATTAATTAAAGAAATAAATGTAATATTTATATATATATATATATATATATATATATATATATATATATAATTTGATGAAATAGATCTCAAATAGCAGGGAAATAATTATAGAAAATAATTATATTATAGAAAATTATTATATTAGGAAATAATTATAGATAATTGATCGATTTGCCATTAATGGCAAATCTGTTGAAAAAGTATTCCAGGAGACATTTTCCAATTTAATTGCAAATAAAACGAATTGAGTTTC